AAATTTAAATCCTTTTTTTTTTTTGCTTAATATACTGTTAATTTGAATTCAGGTCAACGTAATAACCCCATTCTGTCAGTGCTGAAAAAGGTTCTTATTGTAAATTGTATTAGAAGAAAGGGATGCAAAAAAAATCCCCCCCAAAAAAAAAAATTAAGATACATTAAAATATAAATTTTTATTTTAAATATCTATAATGTGCATGATTAATGAACACCTTTGTCTGCAACTGATGTTTGTTTTGGAGTTGACGTCAACCCTGGGTAATATTTGCATGTGAAAGCTTGCATTTTATAAAACACCTGCTTAAATTTTTTTTAAATGCACATTAAATTTATTTTTTTTTTTAAAAAGACATGGGGTTTTCCCTGTTTTATGTTAATACAAGGTTACTATTTAACAGGTTTTTGGAAATTTGGGAATTTTCTTTTAAATTTTTTAAAAAAACAGTTGTTACTTATAATCTTCATATATTAAAAAAAATGTAATCAAGTAAAATTTTCATTAATGAGCTGCACCCTTATATTTCTACCCTTAGCGGGGCCCTTGCTGACTGGTCAGTTTTCTAGTTTTTAAAAAATAGCAAATCCATGATTGGTCATGCGACTACTTTTTGGGTTTAAACTTTACATTAAAAAGCCATTTTCTACTTTTTCCTACACTTAGTGCTCAGGTGAGCGATGTGGCCCATGGGCCTCTTGTTTAAATTCTTATTCCTGGATTATTTCATTCCCTTAACATTGATGTTGAATATCTCCAAGAAAAAAAAAGTTTTATACCCTCAATGCGATGCGCCTCTCAGGCCGTCAGGCCTTTGATTTAAATATTGTTATATAGGAGAAATATTAAAGTTTTAATTGTAGGAAGTAACATAGACTAAGTTAGTAATTTTGAATTGGACTATTTAAACTTTTCATGTACATGTTGTGGAATATGATTTTAATATGCATAATAAATAGACATGTACCTCATATTCTTTTTCTCAGACCAAGATCAACATAACAGCTGTGCTGGACCCTGTGAAGAAACTGATCACAAATTTACAACACCTGTATGACCTATACCACAAATACAGGTGTTATCTGACCTTTGCCCAGTTCTTAGCCTGTAAGTAATCACCTGTATGACCTTTACCACAAGTACAGTTATTATGTGACCTTTGCTCATTTACTAGCTGTTTTTAGGTCACCTGAGTAAAACCACTAAAATTACTGCAATCTTTAAAAATCTTCTTCTTTACTCCTGGACATCAAGCAGTCAAACTGTTTGCATGATTGTAATCAGCATTGAGTCCTCTATCAAAATTGTGAAATTTATGGCCCCAGGGTCAGGGGTTCTAGTGCTAGGGTGGGGCTAAATAAGTATATAGTGAAAATGCATTATTTCTTTGAAAATCTTCTTCTCTGCTCCTGGGTTTTAAATAAACTAACTAAGTGCATAGTTATGATGAGCAAGAGTGCCTCTACCAAAATTGTGAATTTTATGGCCCCAGGGTCAGGGGTTCTAGTGTTAGGGCGGGGCTCTATAGATTATATAGTGAAAATTCATGAATTCTTTGAAAATCTTCTTCTCTGCTCCTGAGTATTAAATAAACCAACTAAGTGCATAGTTATGATGAGCAAGAGTGCCTCTACCAAAATTGTGAATTTCATGGCCCCAGGGTCAGGGGTACTTGTGCTAGGGTGGGGCTAAATAAGTATATAGTGAAAATGCATTATTTCTTTGAAAATCTTCTCTGCTCCTGGGTATTAAATAAACTAACTAAGTGCATAGTTATGATGAGCAAGAGTGCCTCTACCAAAATTGTGAATTTTATGGCCCCAGGGTCAGGGGTTCTAGTGTTAGGGCGGGGCTCTATAGATTATATAGTGAAAATTCATGAATTCTTTGAAAATCTTCTTCTCTGCTCCTGAGTATTAAATAAACTAACTAAGTGCATAGTTATGATGAGGTATGTCCTCCCACCAAAATTGTGAATTTATGGCCCCAGGGTCAGGGGTTCTAGTGCTAGGGTGGGGCTAAATAAGTATATAGTGAAAATGCATTATTTCTTTGAAAATCTTCTTCTCTGCTCCTGGGTATTAAATAAACTAACTAAGTGCATAGTTATGATGAGCAAGAGTGCCTCTACCAAAATTGTGAATTTTATGGCCCCAGGGTCAGGGGTTCTAGTGTTAGGGCAGGGCTCTAGAAGAATCACAGAGTGAAAATTCATGAATTCTTTGAAAATCTTCTTCTCTGCTCCTGAGTATTAAATAAACTAACCAAAGTGCATAGTTATGATGAGCAAGAGTGCCTCTACTAAATTGTGAATTTTATGGCCCCAGGGTCAGGGGTTCTAGTGTTAGGGTGGGGCTCTATAGATTATATAGTGAAAATTCATGAATTCTTTGAAAATCTTCTTCTCTGCTCCTGAGTATTAAATAAACTAACTAAGTGCATAGTTATGATGAGCAAGAGTGCCTCTACCAAAATTGTGAAATTTATGGCCCCGGGGTCAGGGGTTCTAGTGCTAGGGTGGGGCTAAATAAGTATATAGTGAAAATGCATTATTTCTTTGAAAATCTTCTTCTCTGCTCCTGGTATCTAATAAACTAACTAAGTGCATAGTTATGATGAGCAAGAGTGCCTCTACCAAAATTGTGAATTTTATGGCCCTAGGGTCAGGGGTTCTAGTGTTAGGGCGGGGCTCTATAGATTATATAGTGAAAATACATGAATTCTTTGAAAATCTTCTTCTCTGCTCCTGAGTATCAAATAGACTAACTAAGTACATAGTTATGATGAGCAAGAGTGCCTCTACCAAAATTGTGAATTTTATAGCCCCAGGGTCAGGGGTTCTGGTGTTAAGATGGGGCTCTATTGATTATATAGTGAAAATTCATTTATTCTTTGAAAATTTTCTTCTCTGCTTCTGGGTATTAAATAAACTAAGTATGCACATAGTTGTTATGAGCAAGAGTGTCTCTTCTAAAATTGTGAATTTTATGGCCTCAGGGTCAGGGGTTTGAGTGTTAGGGCGGGGCTCAATTGATTATATAGTGAAAATACATTAATTCTTGGAAAATTTTCTTCTTTGCTCTTGGGTTTTATGCCAATGATCCAAGTATATATATATTTATGATGAAGAAAGGTACATCTAGCAAAATGGTGAATTTCAAGGCCCCAGGGTCAGGGGGGGGGGGGGGGTTACTTATATACTGAAACTGGATTAATGCTTTGAAATCTGTGCTTTGATATTAATCAACCATTATTTTTGAAAAGCAAGTGGCCCCACACCTTTCAAAAATTGGTGCTAACATATTAGACCTCTACACCTAAGGGTCAGGGGTTCATGTGTGAAAAAAAATTACCAAACTTTACTGCCATAATTGCTGAATATTACTGATTACTTGAAATGCATTTTTTATATTTCCCCACCAAGATCTTTCATGGTTGTAAGTAAACATACTATGATCAAATTTAACCTACTTTTAAAAATCTTTAACATTGGCCAGAAATATTGAGCATCTTGCTTAAAACATTCATATCAAATTAAATCTCTGGAAAGTTGTTGAATAAAAAATATCTGAACTATTTGACTTTGAAGTTGATCATCTTTTGAAAAACCTTTATGTTGGTCATGATAACTTTTGGACAATTGTTACTAACTTACTTAGGCCTTTTATATTTAGGGCCCCGCAAGGATTTGCGGGTGCCCTATAGTAATCACTTTGTCTGTCTGTCCGTCTGTCTGTCCGTCTGTCACTCTTCCGTCCACAAATTTTCTGTTTTTTTCTAATAACTTTTTTTATGGTTGCCCAATCAAGTTCAAATTTGGTATGGTAGTTCAGTAGGCAAAAATACATATTTTGATGCTAAGTTTGGTTCTCTATGTCTTCTGGTTTGGAGCTGGGGTGGTGGGGTAGATTCCTTAACTATGCATAAGAATGAATGGGCAACTTTTTTTATGGTTGCCCAATCAAGTACAAATTTGGTATGGTAGTTCAGTAGGCAGAAATACATATTTTGATGCTAAGTTTGGTTCTATATGTCCCCTGGTTTGGAGCTGGGGTGGTGGGTAGATTCTTTATCTGTTTATAAAAATGCATTGACAAAGAGAGATAACTGCTGAAGATGTTCCCATTGTAAACTGAATGCTGGCTATGAGTCCTTGGGATTAATTAGCTTTCCTCCTGAAGAAAATCCAGAGCATTATCTTTATCTGAGATGAATTACCACCTCTTCTGCAAATGAAGTTTGCTTTGAAGTTAAGTCAATTTGAAATGCTATGAACAATCTGAAATGTGAATTTAAATATAAATTTTTATAATTTATTTTTGTTTAATAGTTATGATTTCATTGAATTCTAAAAACTAAAATAGATTAAAGATGATTTTTTGATTTACTTTTTTTCACTTTATGTTAATTAATTTTTAAGGTAGTTGTATAAAAACCCCATTCTATCATTGATACTGAAAAAAGTTCTTATTGTAACTTTAGAAGAAAATGATGAGAGAGGTACAATTAATCCTTTGGGATTAATTATCTAGCCTGCTGCAGAAAATTTAGTAGGCTTTTCTTTATCTTTAAGATTAATGAAGACCTTTGTCTGCAACTGCTGTTTGTTTGAAGTCAAGCCTTCATGATATTTGCATTCATTGAAGGCTGGCATTCTATATAACACAAGCTTCATAATTGTTTAAATATACGTTCAATGTTAAGTTGTTCTTTACTGCCTAATGTAAATACAAGGATATTATTTTCAGGTTTTGAATATTCATGAATTATCTTGAAATTTTAAGAATACAGTTGCTGTTGCTTATTCTTCGTACATTTTTTAATCATTCTGTAAGCTGCACCCTTTTAATTCTACCCCATGGCTGGGCCCTTGCTAACTGGTCAGTTTTCTAGTTTAATTTTTAATTCGACCTAAGATTTTAATAGATATGTACTGTATAAATAAATTTTGTTTTGGTTTTAGGAGACTACAGAGTCCGTAACCTTTAGGATGTTGGATAATGTGGTTGCCTTGGAGATGTATTCAGACCCGCCTGACCCAGCAGATACGACCTTACATGCAGGAGCATCACCTGAAAGAGGACACAGTCTTCACTAAATATGTCAAGGTCAGATACAGAAAGAGAGGACACTTCACTAAATATGTCAAAGTCAGATATAAAGAGGACGCAGTTTTCACTAAGTATGTCAAGGTCAGATATAGGAAGAGTACACAGTCGTATAGCATTGAAACAAAGTAATTATGTAACATGTATAACATTACAAGTGTCTATAAATGTACTAAAATATATCCTACGTTATATATTTTTAATTGAATTGATTTATCTGTAATGTTTTATTTTTTCATAATGTTTAGAGGTTATCCTATGTATCCTTGTTACATATAACCATGTTTGGAAATGTCATAATTTTGATAACAATTTCAGGACCTGTTGGAAAGGAGTATGGGACTGACCTCATTCTATGGAGAAGCTCCCTGGGAAGCCAAAGTGATAACAGTCATTGGTTGTATCAAAGATCCCAGGGTAGGCACAAGAAATACTAAGTGATAGCAGTCATTGGTTGTATCAAAGATCCCAGGGTATGGACAAGAAAGGCCATACAGAACTCTAGTCTTATATCCAGGCTTTATACAGTGGTACTATTGCTTCAGTGACTACATTTTATTTCTTTGTTACAGTCCAAGTGTGAAGCCATTCTGGAGATGATGAAGATGGCCCATATTCCTCTGTCAGCTCAGATAGAGAAACTGATACAGGAGGGCATGGAACTAGAACACCCCAAGTCAGTATATACTGTGTATCAACTTTACCTAACAGATGCTTTCTTTTGCTATGTTGTCATTAAAATGAGTTCCATGACTTTTGTCATGATTCTTATTTGTATCTTTTTATGAAACTTGATGAAATTAGACTTGCACCAGGGACAGTAGTTTACTTAAGGCCCTCAAGACTTTTCATGAACACCTAAATTGACAACCCTTTTTAATATTTATGCAATTACTTTTAATAAACAAAAAGTGAAGATTTGACAATTTTTTTAATCTTTAATATGTTGATACAATATACAAATAACTGGGGAAAATGGTTCAAATAAAGCATTACTAAGACAACATTTTTATTGAACAGAGTGACAGAGATACAGCAATACAAGATGGTGACTGTAGAAAACTGGTTCTCAAGTATGGAATAAATCGGGTACCAGACAAACAGTCCAATGAGGTGTGTACTTTTATCTAATCACATACAAACAGTACACACAAGCATAGACAAAATCTTCAGACAAAGCATGTTTTTTTTTTTTTTTAAAGAAAGTGACTCTCATCAGCCACGTACCTCAAATCACTTGACTCGACACTAATCTAGTGTTTCGGCGGTGTGATATATACGAGGTTTAAGATTTTGATAGTATATTAATTAGCTGCAAATCCGCCATCATCAGGAGCCTATTTGCACATCTGTTATACAGATTATTAAATTAGTTAGGAGAGGAGCATATTACTCAGATTTTTAATGTGTTTAATGACACAATAGGTTTTTCTTGGAGGATTGTATTGCAATCCTTATATTCTTTTTGTTGAATATGCTGGTATTTTAATAATTTTATACATCGTTTTTATTAGCGAATATTGCATACAGAATGGGGTACCTGACTTAGAACCCATCGCATATTCAATTATTTGTTTGTATATATTTGAAAATTCAAATATATTAAATCTGAGTAAATAAATTTGGTCTGTTGTGGGCTCGGCTTAGACTGAGAATTTCCCTAAAAGCCGTATCAACAGCAGCCATAAGCTTCTCCAGTTGCACATTTGTGTAAAGTGATGTTACATCACAGCTGACCAGCAAGTTCTCGTTGTGTGGTCGCAGAAGTTCATTCTTCAATGTGAAGTCTGAGATATCCATAAAATGTGTGCTTATATTATGCATGCACAATAAATGATTAAAATTATAATCAATATAAATGACTACATTTAAGTAAGTGCCTTTTTGAAATGTAAGAGGCCTTCTTGAGAAGTAAAGGTAATTTGCAGCATCAATTACTTTTTGTATATTTTATGGAGTAGATTTAATCTCTCCGTCCTCGTATTATCTGCTAATTACAGAAAGCTATAAGTAATATAGTCAAGGACACCCTTTGCATTCATTTCAGCCATGTGTTCATCAAGATGTTTTGATTTGGGATACTAAATTCAGCAGTTATATTTTGAATTTAAGTGCCGTTCATACGACTCTTTACTGTGTTTCATTCAGTGACATCATTTAGTCAGCTTTTATGAGATGAAATTTTTGTTTTTATTAAGTTCCATCAATGCTTTTTATAAAGCAAATCTGAGATTTCAAATTTCTCTCCGACTTCCAGTGATGACAACTCATAAGTTTTGTATTGTCAAGGTACGTAATATATGGAGTCATTATAAATCTGGTTCAAATTCAACTGCTTTTAAAGCGAGAAAGAGGCATCGCAATGTTCTCATTAGGATCAAGAGACAAGTATCTATTTTCAACTTTTCAGCAAACTCATTGATAAACGAATGAGTATATTTCTTGCATGTTGTGACTTTGGAGAGGGCCCTCTCGTCAAAAATAATTTTTCATTATCAGACAATATGTCCGATGTGAAAATGAGATACAAGCTCACGAGCTAAGAGAACTATTGTTCTATGCTCTCTTTGTTAATTGGCTTTGTAATTCTTAAGCCTTGCGCAATTTGCGCTTTAACATATAGCGTTCCGATCGGAACGACGTGTCATTCTGTTGTGAATGTACTTGTAGTTTTAGAACCAGCGCACGTGGAAAATCACATGATTCAAATCTCCATTCGTACTTGACAAATCAGAGTGATTGGAACTTAATTAGCGAGTGATAAAATACAAGCATAGATACCTGTTTCATTACTCCAAATCAAAATATAATCCGAAAACACATTTTTGTTAATATAAAATGATTAATACAGTCACCCAGTCACAATTCCGTATACGTTTTGGGTTTGCTGCATTCTTATACGACGGAAATTCCGTCCTCTTGATGCGTGGGTGAACCAGCTGGTGCAAGGTTTTAATCATCCTTAGATCAGTTTGTCTTAATTTAAAATGCCAAATGTGCATTTTTCCTCTTGCGGACCAGTTTTAATTTATACATAGTATAAATCCTAAAATAATAGTATGACAACACCGAAACAAGAGAATAAGTGAGATCAAATGACAGAAAGTACGGATCGCAGACAAAGTCGGCGATTCTCGGGAATAGAGCCATTGGGACATTGTCCCTCATATCAGTTTCAAAGAAAGTGACTCTCATCAGCCACGTACCTCAAATCACTTGACTCGACACTAATCTAGTGTTTCGGCGGTGTGATATATACGAGGTTTAAGATTTTGATAGTATATTAATTAGCTGCAAATCCGCCATCATCAGGAGCCTATTTGCACATCTGTTATACAGATTATTAAATTAGTTAGGAGAGGAGCATATTACTCAGATTTTTAATGTGTTTAATGACACACAATAGGTTTTTCTTGGAGGATTGTACTGCAATCCTTATATTCTTTTTGTTGAATATGCTGGTATTTTAATAATTTTATACATCGTTTTTATTAGCGAATATTGCATACAGAATGGGGTACCTGACTTAGAACCCATCGCATATTCAATTATTTGTTTGTATATATTTGAAAATTCAAATATATTAAATCTGAGTAAATAAATTTGGTTGTTGTGGGCTCGGCTAAGACTGAGAATTTCCCTAAAAGCCGTATCAACAGCAGCCATAAGCTTCTCCAATTGCACATTTGTGTAAAGTGATGTTACATCACAGCTGACCAGCAAGTTCTTCGGCCCGTGTGGTCGACAGAAGTTCATTCTTCAATGTGAAGTCTGAGATATCCATAAAATGTGTGCTTATATTATGCATGCACAATAAATGATTAAAATTATAATCAATATAAATGACTACATTTAAGTAAGTGCCTTTTTCTGAAATGTAATAGGCCTTCTTGAGAAATAAAGATAATTTGCAGCATCAATTAGTTTTTGTGTATTTTATGGAGTAGATAATAATTCTCAAGAAGGCCTATTACATTTCAAAAAGGCACTTACTTAAATGTAGTCATTTATATTGATTATTATTTTAATCATTTATTGTGCATGCATAATATAAGCACACATTTTATGGATATCTCAGACTTTACATTGAAGAATGAACTTCTGCGACCACACACGAGAACTTGCTGGTCAGCTGTGATGTAACATCACTTTACACAAATGTGCAATTGGAGAAGCTTATGGCTGCTGTTGATACGGCTTTTAGGGAAATTCTCAGTCTAAGCCGAGCCCACAACAGACCAAATTTATTTACTCAGATTTAATATATTTGAATTTTCAAATATATACAAACAAATAATTGAATATGCGATGGGTTCTAAGTCAGGTACCCCATTCTGTATGCAATATTCGCTAATAAAAACGATGTATAAAATTATTAAAATACCAGCATATTCAAAAAAATATAAGGATTGCAATACAATCCTCCAAGAAAAACCTATTGTGTCATTAAACACATTAAAAATCTGAGTAATATGCTCCTCTCCTAACCAATATAATAATCTGTATAACAGATGTGCAAACAGGCTCGTGATGATGGCGGATTTGCAGCTAATTAATATACTATCAAAATCTTAAACCTCGTATATATCACACCGCCGAAACACTAGATTAGTGTCGAGTCAAGTGATTTGAGGTACGTGGCTGATGAGAGTCACTTTCTTTGAAATTGGATCTAAGTGAAAAAGAAAGAGACTTGATCCAGTATACATTTTTTTATAACATGTTACGTCTGGACAATGTCCGAATGACTCGAATATATCAGGAATCGCCGACTTTGCCTGCGATCCGAACTTCCTTTCATTTGATAAAATCTAATTGATTTGTTCGGCAAGAATTACAGAATTCACACCCTTTTGCCGTTATGACCACCCAAAAGTTGGTCATTATCACACTGATTTCAGTATGAACAGATTGTCACTATTTTAAGAATAACAACACATCAAAATGGATGTTGATGATAATATTGATATACCAAGTAATCAGAAAGCTATTTGCAAATATGCAAAATGAGCTTGAAAAATGTATAAGGTAAAAACTATGGATTGAATCTCACAGATCTTGATTCAACCGATGTCAAATCGGACAAATTTACTGATAGTGATACTGTGTCCATTGCTTGTGATAATTTCAGTGAAAAACTGAAAACACGACACCAGCTGGCCTGTGCCCGAGAGGGAATTTATTTTGCCATGAAAAATAACACATTACCACCTTTCATGAAGTGGAATGTTACCTGTCATCCTAATCTTGGAGATAAGTTGATAATTTGTTCCAATCTCTGTGAAAGGAAAAATCTGATTGTTGAAAAAGGAATTCATGCAAGATTCCATCAAATTCAAGGCCGGAAAAAATTGCAATGACAAATGATGAATTAAGAGAAATCAGACAGGAGGCATTCAGAAAAATAGGAACAACCACTTCCTCTCGGGAGCCACGACAATTTGCTCAACACTCGGATGAATGCGAGTAAGGAAAAGTTCAACAAAGAGCTGTTACAATTCTGTACCTCGATCAGGACCAAACAAAGACAGGGGGCTGATGTAAAACACAAACCCAGTACCGGTTCCTCAAATAAAGGAGGCAAAGGCAGAGGACATAAAGGCCGAAAATTTTCGCCTTACTAAGTGACTATAGTTTCTACTGCACATTTTATTAAACTTTGAGTGTATCACTCATGCGAGACTGAACTGTTGATCCTAAAGTGACTCTATTCTCAATAATTTTGTATTGAGTGTATCACTCTTAACGCAAACAACTAATCCCAATGGGAATAAATTTCTTCAAAGTGTCATTCACTTATGTCAAT